TCAGTAGAGTTACATTATCATTTGGAACCGCTTTTGGGAAAGTGTTGGGCATAGTTCCCGAAATAGAATATGACATATTCGCAAAACGGCAGTATGCCTCGAGTGTAGTTAACACATGCCTATTCCCGCCAATGCCTAGAGGAGGAGTTGATATTCTGTGTGTTTATTGCGATAGAATCTCTTCTACTAGATATGGAAACCAGTCTGTAAATATTTTGGATGTAATCTCCCTAAATGGAAGTGATAACAGCAACAATAAAAAACTATATGTGCGTCTTAACACTAACATGATAGACAGCGTCAGCATCACTATTAGGGATCAAGATGGTAACCCAATACATTTCGATGAACGTGGGTGCACCATAGCAGTCTTGCATGTACGCCCCGTTGCAGGAGGTATATAACACCAATGCTTTCCCGCCACTCCTCATTCGCCTGAAACAAGCGGAGAAATGCGTGTCCACTTTATTCCCCCCTCTGTTGAGGAATTATACATTCTGTTAACCCCTCCTAGAGGTGGTGGGACTGATGATATACGGATTTTCAACAGCAGTAGACGTTATACGCGAGGAGGAGGAATATTTTCCTTTTTAAGCGGGATAGCGCGTCAAGCAGCGCCCTTTATCATGAGGACTCTGGCCCCGGCTGCGCTTAGCTTGGGGCAGAACGTACTAGACGATATTAATAATGACAAACAAACTTTCAAACAATCTCTTAAGAAACGCGGAATTGAAACATTGAAAGGAGTGGGGAAGCAAATGATAGGCGGAAGAGTGCAGAAAAAGAATAAACAAACAAAAAAATTAGTAAATATCAAACGTTTTAAGCGAACATGGCCGAATATAACGCTCTGGGCCTCCAGGTGCCATTAGAATACTACACAGCTGCTGTTAGTGAAGCCTTTCCTAAAGTATTTTCCCCTCGATTGGTAGAATCAACAATTGCCAGCAGACAAACGGTGGATGTATTACCTGTGAATTCTGGGGTCAATAATAAGCTTACAGACACCTATCTGGAATTCATCATCAAGGGAGTGAATGGTCAACTGGTGGATTTATCATCTATAGCTTTGGAGTTGTCTATTGATCTAACTGAAGAAGATGGAATAACGCCTTTAGGAGACGCTAAAAACGTTTCGTTGGTGAATGGATTATCGCAAACTCTGTTCAAATCCGCTATTGTGTATTTAAACGAAACAGTAGTTGAAACCAGCTCATTATTCTCATTCTGGTCATACGTAAAGTTATTATCTACGATTTCTGGGTGTAAGGCTAACCGCTATGATAAACTGTCACAGTTTTTTAACCGAGTCGATCCTGGTAAAATTGAAGCTGGTTATTTCACTAACGCCTCGGCTGGTGAGAATCAGCGGATGACTGATATGAAAACGAGTGGCGTGAATACTTGTTTTAAACTAATGCTGGATGTCACATCCGTTAGTGAATACGTTTTGGATAATGTGGACATCAGGGTGAGGCTCGAACTTCAACCTGATAAGTGGCTTATACTCAGCGATAATGAACACGCTAATTTTAAATATAATATCAAGTCTACACGTCTATGGGTGGATCGGGTATTGGCATTCCCTGAAGGATTAGTAGCCGTTAATAAGGCCATGGTGCAGAACAACTCTCCTATTACGTATACTTTTAATAAAACTTTATACAAAACGTATATATTGGGCACAGGTCAGCGCTCTATAACAATGGACCAGCCGTGGAGGACTGTTATACCAGAACATTTATATATGATCATCCTTGATATGGAGGCAGTGTCTGGTGCATATAACCGCAACCCGCTTTATTTGGAAAACTGCGAGCTTAGTAAAGTATTAATATCACAGAATAGCACTAATATTATCAATATTGGGTGCGACTTCCCTCATAACTGCGCCAAGTTGTATTATACCGCATTACAAGCCTTAGGCTTCGATAAAGACAATATATTATCTTATGACACATATGTGAATGGTGGAACCATAGTGGCCTTTAATTTACAACCTGAGGATATCGATGACACCATCCCGATTGAAAAAAGTGGTAATCTGAGGATCGCTTTGGAATTTAAACGCGGAGTGGCTAGAAATAAAGTCATTCTAGTTTACGGCTCTACAACAGGTGTGATCAGCATTAACGCGGATCGTCGCGTTATTTGCGATACGCGAGGATAAAATACTAATATGAATTGTTTGGAAATAAATGAGGCTATCAGAAGTAATTTAGGTGATTGGGTAGACTATCTAGGATGTTTCCTAGCTGATGACTTACAGAAAATATGGATAAAAATACATAAAAAAAGACCTGTGGTGTTCATAATGAACACTCTGGAGTCTGGTTCTCGTAATAAAATGGGTCATTGGATAACATTCTATGTAAATAAGGATGTAGGTAGAAGCGAGATAGTTATACTAGACAGCTATGCCAATCCTGCAATAGGATCTTATTCAAGATATTTCGAAGAGTTTATGTCTTACTTCCAAGACTATACCCTATATATTATGAAGAAAAGGATTCAATCCTTGAATAGTTACTTCTGTGGGAATTACGCCGTTTATTTTGCATATCATTTTTGCAGACTAGGGTTAGAGACCGCCCTGCTACACTTTGATGAAGCATTTAAATATGGTCAATTTCGCAAGAATGATGAAAAAGTGTTGAAATTCAATTACGCTCAGATGAAAATGCCTGTGTGTAAGCAAACATTCTGCTTAAACGGTAGTGATGCTGAGTGTGAAACGCTGTGTGACGAAGTTGGCTAGGATGATAGTGCGGTGAGTAGTACTTTATGTTAGGATTGAATGATGAACATAATAATGTCTTTATTTATGTTTACAACATTGACAACAACAAAACTTATAACCTTTTCCCCTTTCTACAGATTGTCTGATTGACTGGCGTGTCGGGAAGGTTCGTTGGAGTGGATGAATGACTCCCAATTGGTCTGACTACTACCTAAACCCGTTCTACAGATTGGCTGGTTGACTAGCGTGGTGGGAAGGTTCGATGGACTGAATGAAAGCCTTTCTCCATCTGTCTGCTAGCTAAACCACCAAGAAGAATGTCTTATTATTATTATTATTATTATCGTTGTAAATCGCTTAAGTGATTAATAAAAGAAATAAATTTATATATAATGTGTTTACTTTTCCCCTCGTTTATTGCTCTCACCATGTTGATCACGTTACGATATAGCTTACACATACTAAAAGGGTTTGCACAGAACAATGGTTGATGGTATGGGGGGGGTGGGAGTGATTGATGGCTTACAGGTGTGGGTCCGTCTGTCGGCATGAGTATGTACCTCGCTCCTCCTTAACGAATCCACAGTGTATGGGGAAGCGTGGTGGGACGAACATCTCCAAGTCTGGTCTTAAGACAACGAAATGCTTTTAAGGTAAATGGCTCACTTCCGCAGGAGGGAGCTCTCTCTCTCTCTCTCTCTCTCTTACCCGCCTCTCCCACTTACGACTTCCTGTAGGGGGAAGCTAATGGACGTCCAGGCTTTCCTCTCAGGTATGGGGGTTCTCCTCTCCCTCCCCCCTCCTCCCTCCCCAAACAACATATACACTATGTTGGATCCCTCAACCTCTACTTACCTTACTATCATCAAACTATGACAAACACACATACATATTTTAACGCTTTTCCCTGTATTTTCTTGCGCCAAACTTCCGGGAGATTCCCCCCCAAAAAACCCCATGTGACTACGACGACGCGCTGCGACTACGACGACGCGCAACACCTGGCACCCAACAACATAACTTACTCTCTTTCCTGACCACATACCCAAACACAGGACGCTCACACGCGTCCGAAACATGCCAAACTTCCAGGAAAATCCCCCCAAAAACCCCATGTGACTACGACGACGCGCGACACCTGCTCAGATGGCACTCAAGAGTGCCACCTGGGCAGGTGGCGCACGTCGCCGTAGTCACATATTACACTACTCTTTTCTCCAAAATTGGCAACCTTACAGATAGGCTTACGTGCAGTCAGGTGTATAAGTTTCATGCAAATCGTCCGATAAAACAAAACAAAAAAATTGAAAAAAAAAATTCAATTTTTTTTTTTAACTTAAATTTTTTTCCAATTAAACTAATTATAATATTTGTTTAATATATGCTATTGTGATAGCAGAGTCATAGATATGATTTCAGTTGACACTTTTGTTTGATAGTCGTTTTTAACCATTTTGGAATAATTTTGACACCTACTTGGGGGCCTCGTAGCCTGGTGGATAGCGCACAGGACTCGTAATTCTGTGGCGCGGGTTCGATTCCCGCACGAGGCAGAAACAAATGGGCAAAGTTTCTTTCACCCTGAATGCCCCTGTTACCTAGCAGTAAATAGGTACCTGGGAGTTAGTCAGCTGTCACGGGCTGCTTCCTGGGGGTGGAGGCCTGGTCGAGGACCGGGCCGCGTGGACACTAAAAACCCCGAAATCATCTCAAGATAACCTCAAGATTAGATACTTCAATATTTTCTTCTCCCTTCCTATTTATGCTACGATGCTGAAACTTGGACCAGATGAAACACTTTTCATATACAACTTGTCAAAAAAGTTTGATTGAAATCGAACGAGTTTTCATTTATTACATATTTGGGCAATTTGGAACCTAATGCCCCCTAAGTTTAACTGTAGAGTAAATTATAATGCTCACTGAAATACTTATCAAAACCAATCCAGTACTAGTGCTCCAGCTACTCCCATGAACTGTTCTCTTACAAAGCTTAAACTTGCTACACCTTTGCCAGGACCATCAATTCCTAGTAATGTTAATTATAAACCTACAGTTGGTTCCACCGGTGTGTCCACTGTAAGGTACTGTGCTCATTGTAAGAGGAAAGGACATGTGATTAATTCTTATTTTACTTTGCACCCTGAGTTACGACCAACTGGTCTCATTTATTGTAGAGGTGTGCAGAATAAATTTACTAATGAATATGTCACTGTAGACCCCAATTGGGTAAAACAGTATTCTCCATATATGTTTTCAGGCAAAGTTCTGTGTGTAAATGGGAAGTGGAAGCCAGTGGTTCTTCTTCGTAATACTGGTGCTTTCCAAACATTAATTTCTGCCTGTATACTCTCTAATGTTGCAAAAAGAGATACTGGAGAGTCTGTAGTTCTTCAGAGTGTTGCAGGATGTAAAACTGTACCTCTTATAGATGTTAATTTGAGATCCACCATTACCCCAAGTTTATGCACTGTTAGTGTTAGTAAACAGTTGCCCATCCCAGGTGTGGATGTTATTTTGGGTAATGATGTGGCAATAAATCATGTTGTGGGGGAGACTGATCCCAGTTTGTTTAAACAGCCAGTTGCAGACCCTGTTGTCTATCCTGCATGTGCTGAGTTTAGTTCCATGAGTGACCAGTCTGTTGCAGTGGAGAGAGTTAAAATCCCTGCCTGTGCTGAGTTTAGTTCTATGAATGAAGAACCAGTTGTATTGGATGGTGTCGTCCTCCCTACCTGTGCTGATGTTAGTACTATTATTGATCCAGTTGTCGGTTCGGGTATTACTCAGGTATTTGTTCCATAAACCAGTACCCCTTCAGAGGAGAAGTGGGATGTGGTTGTTCTAGATTCATGTGTGGCCAACCTAGTTGTTGAGAGTAAGCCTGGTACTATGACCCCGCTTTATTCCAATCCAGTGGATGAATTGGGACAGGACGTCCATGTGCCATTGTCTTGCCCGCTCACTACGAATGTTGTGCCAGGAGTTGAGAGAAACATAGGTGCCACGACTCTATTGTATTCCAACCAAGTGAATGGTTTAGGACAAGATGTTGGGTTAGCAGAAGTTTTCCCGCTCACTCCAAATTTAGAATCAGTTAACCCAGAATCTGATGTCAAGAGTGAGTCTGTTGTAGTGGCCCCGCCTCACCCTAGTATTGTTGGTAGTAAAGGGGAGGAGGCCAAATTACCTGTTACTTGCCCACTCGCTTCAGATTTCGAGTCATTTAATTTTTGTAAGTTGAGTAGAACTGACCCCAAGACTTCAGAGAGAAGCAAGGAGACAGTCTGTACTGTAGTTCCAGTATTGGAGAGTTTGGGAGAGTAGACAGAGAATCAGCTTCTGTTGAGTAGATGGAGATCCATTGAGCCTCCCTCTTCTGTTGTCTGTGAGGATGTGACCTGTTACGTACCCCTATAAGATACGTAAGTAAATAATTAATATGTACATTTATAATTGTGTGTAAATTACAAGCATGTATATTGATATACTTATATGTTCTATGCAAACGTAAATTCATGTTACAGTGTTGGCGTTAGGCCCAACGTATCGTGGGAATGATTGTTTTATTTCTTTGTGTGCTCAGTTTTCCCACGGGAACTAATGATTTATATGTGATCATATGTGGGTAACAGAGGTGAATAATAATTGAGTGAACTGTATCTGGCAAATTGTCGTGGGACCGTCCGTTGCTGGGTGAGCATGCCATTATTCCCTTCTGTATGCATATTTTAATTACTATGTAAAGAAATAATTACTTTATTTTTGTATATCAATATGTATTAATTATTCATTAAGTTAGTTTAAGATTACTCTTGTCACAATGTATTGCTCCATTGTTGAAATAATAAATATTGTAACTTTGGCAATTTGTTCGCGGGGCAAGGCAATGTGTTTTGACTCCCGCGTTATTATTATTCAGTAGCTGATCCGGAACCAGAGAGTTAGCATCTTGTGGAGTTAAGTTATACATTTTTGTTCTGTCATAGCCATACATATAATAATATTAATTTAATGTCTGGAAGATACAGTGATATTTTTAATGTGATATATTGTGACCAAATAATCATCTGTTTGCTATTGAGATTTATGTAATATATATCTATATAAGATTTTGTATCTATTCTTCATTCCTAAAGGAAGATTTTATTTATGTGCTCATTACTTATCAAGGGGTTATACTGGTGACCCGCTATTGAGAACAGCAGTTGTCTCGTATCCCTAGACGTAATTAAAGCTTGGCTGCTGTAGGGTCACGAGCCGTAACGTACGAAAGGTAACATGACCCAACTTGCTAGTGTTAATGATTGTGATCAGACAGTACTCCAAGCAGCAGGGAGCCGAGCGGACAGCTCGCTGGACTTGTGATCCTGTGGGCCTGGGTTCGATCCCTGGCGCCGGCGAGAAACATTGGGCAGAGTTTCTTTCACCCTATGCCCTTGTTACCTAGCAGTAAAATAGGTACCTGGGTGTTAGTCAGCTGTCACGGGCTGCTTCCTAGGGGTGGAGGCCTGGTCGAGGAGCGGGCCGCGGGGACACTAAAAAGCCCCGAAATCATCTCAAGATAACCTCATCTCAGGATAGCTCCAGGTGTCATGGAAGGAAATTTTGGTAAATCTTGTGAAATCATTCTGCGCGGTAAAATTTCGTCTGGATCTAAGTTGCAGAGTTTTGTGGCTTGTGATTCCTATTCCATGGAGAGTAAGTATTTCTCCTTGTGTAAATTGAGTCAGAGTGTTCGAAGGATGTTCTTGCAATTTATTGTCATTCCGCAAGAGCCATTCTCCCATGAAGAAATATACTGTGGGACAACTTTGTCCAGCCTTGTTGTTGACCAGAGAGAGTTTACTCCAATAAGTTGTGCATCCAGTTTGGGGAAAGTTGTGTCATGATAGAGCAGTGTCTCTACCTTTATATCTAGCATGCCATTTCGTTGAGAGAGTAGTGAACAAACTATATGTTCCATTCAAGTGTTGTATTGACTTTCAGAGTCAAAATGTTGTTGGAGGATTTCGTCAGACCTTGGAGCAGGTGTTCCAAGCTACAGGTGTAGGGTACAAGCTACAGGTGTGGGGTACAAGCTACAGGTGTGGGGTACAAGCTACAGGTGTGGGGTACAAGCTACAGGTGTAGGGTACAAGCTACAGGTGTGGGGTACAAGCTACAGGTGTGGGGTACAAGCTACAGATGTGGGGTACAAGCTACAGGTGTGGGGTACAAGCTACAAGTGTGGGGTACAAGCTACAGGTGTGGGGTACAAGCTACAGGTGTGGGGTACAAGCTACAGGTGTGGGGTACAAGCTACAGGTGTCGGGTACAAGCTACAGGTGTCGGGTACAAGCTACAGGTGTGGGGTACAAGCTACAGGTGTGGGGTACAAGCTACAGGTGTGGGGTACAAGCTACAGGTGTGGGGTACAAGCTACAGGTGTGGGGTACAAGCTACAGGTGTGGGGTACAAGCTACAGGTGTGGGGTACAAGCTACAGGTGTGGGGTACAAGCTACAGGTGTGGGGTACAAGCTACAGGTGTGGGGTACAAGCTACAGGTGTGGGGTACAAGCTACAGGTGTGGGGTACAAGCTACAGGTGTGGGGTACAAGTTGAAGTGGGATAAGGCTATTCAACCTAATTGTTTTGAGGAGTGTGAAAGGTTACAGGTTATCCTTGGGTGGTTGCCAGGAAAGTTGTTGTTCATCTTCAAGGTGATAAGACCTTTCATCCAATTGTTTGCTTGTTTGATGTCACCAGGAGAAAGTCACTTACGGAGTGAAATAAATAGTAAGGATTGTTAAGTTTTCAGCATGATTATGTTAATTTCTTGGAAGACCAGGATAGTTATGAAGGAGAGGGTTGTACTGAAGTTCATCATTAGAGGAGGTGAACTTGTTCATGAAGTGGCAATGTGGCTACTGTGCATTGGATTAATCCTGTTTTCTCTCGCTGATCATTTTGACAGTTATGAAGCAGTTGATTCAGGTGTTCAGTGATGTTCATCAGAGTCAGTTCAATCAGGTACTCCATGCATTTGTACTCATAGTTTGTGTAGGTTGGTTTGGTTATCAAAGGTCTTCTGTAGAGTAGTGTTACAATTTTGTTGGTTGTAAGAGTGAAGAAGTTTCAGTTGTATTTAATAATAATAATAATAATAATAATAATAATAATAATAATAATAATAATAATAATAATAATAATAATAATTTATTTAGGAAAAATACATACATAGTTGCAGAGTTAGAGTACAAACATTCTGTTTGATTTAAAGATAGAGGTAGTACATTCAATACCTAAAGCCACTGGTACGCATAGCGTTTCGGGCAAGGTGAGGTGGGGGAAAAAACACTTAGACTAAAACTTAATAGTAATTGAGCTTAAAGTATAAATTGCGTTAAAATAAAAAAATAATAAAAGACAAAAAAAGGGAGAAACATGGTAGAAAATAGCCAATATACAAGTTGGTCAACAACCAGCATTTTTTTTTTAATAGTAAGACATGGGTTGACATTTAGAAGTAAGGTAGGTTACATGGAGTTAATTAGGTAGTACTGTCACGGGGGGTGGGCCGGGGCTATGCTAGCACTCTGCTGCTAGGGGCTCAAATGGCCGAATACTCAGCACCTCCGACTCCCGGGATTCACCGGAGTCTCCTTGGTCACACAGGAGAGGACCAACAATGCCCACCTCCGCAGGTCTTTGCTTCCACCACAAAAGGGGTGCTACTGATTCACCCTGGAAGCCCTTGAGTCAAACACTGGGAAACTACTGTTAACAGTTCCGGCCTAGATCCGTGGAGGAGTGAAGGAAGACTCAGGCTTACCTTATAACCATAACCTCCCTGAGTCTTGCCTGCCAGACAAAAAGGTTGCAGGAACTCCTCTCCCACCTGTCTTCTCTATCTTCTTCTTAACAAGGTCGCCAGCTGGGTTATTATATCTGCACCCCCAGCAATGCAGTTCAGTGGGTGTATTATGTATTGTTTGTTGCCAGAAGGTTGCTACTCCCATAGATCTGCTATTGGACTGTCGGCCCAGGGTACTCTCCCAGGAAGGTCTGTGTGGCTTTACCTCTCTCTAGCCACCACGTTACTAGTTGCCACCATTCAAGCACTGATACTGATCGGATGGCTAAGGGTACACTTTTATATAAGTCTGTGCTGCTTTTACCACTCTCCAGGCAATAAGAACTTCTATAGAGAACGTAGTGTTCCCTAGGTGGTACTATAATAACATTCGTGTATGCTCATAGAGAAATATTATAATGGAGGCACACTTAAACACAGTGATAAAATGTGTGAATTTACTGACGCAAATGACATGAACACACATACAATCACAAGTAATACATGAATATGAAAATAAGGATAATAAGTCTGGAGATCGTCAGCCTCTTCTTCCACCACCTCCAACACTCCTTCAGCTGGGCAGAAAGACAGGAGTCCCACACTCTCTCACAGGAGGGCCTCTTCACCACGTCGGCGCCTCTTCTTCACTGTCCTGCCATCCATACACACTGTCCCCTCTGACAGTCCTGGACACAAGCTGCCTTGCAGCCTATTCTACTACTAAAGTATTAATGTCCTACTGCCACATACATAAGTGAATATTGTGGCCTATCTAGCCTACTCACACAAGGGGTAATGGGAGGGGAAATGATTTACCTTACATTCCTGGCTCACGACGCCTGTCCCTCGATGGTGTGAAGTTCCCACGCTTCCTGAGTCGATCCTTGACGATCCAGGAACGTACCACAGGTCCTCAGGTGTCGTGAAGCCTTCGCATCGTCGCCGTTATAAATCCCTGAGATTCAGCTACCCCAATCCTGGTTCATCGATGGGCACTGAGCTAATCACTATTTTCCCACACTCGCCCCTTCCACAAGGCATTGCTCCTTGTCCTAGGAACGGTGTCGTCCTTCCAAAACCCTCAGTGGATGTGACCCGGTCACAGCTAGGCCTGCCCGCCACACCTTTCCAGGCCCTTACGTCCAGCGTCGCCGCCCAGCGTCGTCGCCGAATATTTTCCAAGTTTGGCACTCTTTTGCTCAATAAACTTGGTTCCTTTTTGCTTCCCAGAAGCGCGGGGTCTCCAATGCATAAGATGGGCTGCGATAGCTAGCTCTAATCCACTAAGAAAGGCTTGTAGAGCCTCAAATCTTTGAGAGCTGACCGAGGTGCGTCCTCTCGCCTTCACGGTCAGGTCAACTCTGACGTTGGCGCCGCCTGGGGCACTTGGTGACGTCATGGCGGGCCCTGATTGGTCGCCCGCGACCTAAGTCGGCCAATCCGCGATCGGCTAGTGTCCCTTCCAAAACGTCATATCTGCAGTAGGGGATACTCTTTCATTTTATATCAGGGCACCAATTTCCCCTTACTTACAACTTATAGTGTAACTTTCTCCCTTAACTGGCAGCCGGTCTGGTCGCCACATATATGAATAGACTCCCTGAACCTCAGAGAATCAGTAGTGAGAGCTGATATGACTCTTAAAGCAGGCAAACGAAAGAAATAGGAGAGGGCACCGTAACAGTACTTAGTATCATCTTAAACGGGTTGAGAGAGGTACAATCTTTGACATGATTGGGAAGGTCATTCCACATTCAGGCTCTCTTGATTTGTAGAGCATTCTTAGTTTGATTAAGTCATACTCTTGGAATATCAAATAGGTATTTGTTTCTGGTGTGGTGCCCTTGAGTTCTGTTACAACCTTCTAGGAAGCATTGAAGGTCAGGATTGACATTACAATTCAGAGTTTTAAATATATTGAGTACACAAGAGAGGATGTGCAGTGACTTAATATCTAACATATTCAGAGATTTGAGTAAGGGTACCGAGTGCTGTCTGGGGCCAGAGTTTGATATTGTTCTAATAGCAGCTTTGTGTTGGGTAATTAGAGGACGTAAATTATTTTGGGTAGTAGAACCCCAACCACAAATACCATAGTTGAGATAAGGATAGATGAGAGAGTAATAGAGCGTCACCAGGGCAAGGCGAGGAACATAATATCTGATCTTAGAAAGAATGCCAACAGTTTTAGAAACTTTTTTTTGCTATATTTAGAATGTGTCCCTAGAAATTCAGCTTGTTATCGATGAGAACACCAAGGAATTTACCACCAACTTTTCTACTGATTTGTATATTGTTTATTCTTAAATTAATTTAATTTGAGGATTTATTACCAAACAAAATATAGAAAGTTTTGTCAATGTTAAGGGTGAGTTTTTTAGCAGTTAGCCAAAGATGGACTCTATTTAGTTCAGTATTCACAGTCACATTTAGAGCAAGGGGGTCAGGACTGGAGAAAATAAAAGTTGTGTCATCAGCAAATAAGATTGGTTTGAGGTGTTGAGAGGCATTTGGAAGGTCATTAATGTAGATGAGAAAGAGGAGAGGGCCTAGTATGCTGCCTTGTGGAACACCGATGTTTATAGGTAGTGTCGGAGAAATGGAATTATTCACAGAAGCATACTGGAGCCTGTCAGTAAGGTAGAACTGAAGGTAATGCAGGGAGTGACCTCTGACTCCATAATGATATAATTTAAGAAGAAGGTTTTGGTGGTTGACAGTGCCTTACGAAGGTCCACAAATATCCCAACAGGGATCTCATTTTTATCAAGAGCTGCAAGTATCAAGTTAATCATACTAATAAGTGCATCGTTAGTGCTTTTTTTGGGTCTGAAGCCATATTGACAAGAGATTAGTATATTGTGTTTGGCTAGATAAGAGTAAAGCTGCTTGTAGATTAGTTTTTCAAATATTTTTCAAATATTTTTCAAACAAGTTTGGCAGAATTGATATAGGTCTGAAATTGTTGACATCAGTGAGATCACCACACTTATGGACTGGGGTTACTCTCGCTTTTTTTTAGAATATCTGGAAAAGTTTGAAGTTCAAGTGACTTGTTGTAGAGCAATGCAATGGCAGAGGCTAAAGATCTGGAGGCTTCTTTGTAGATTTGAGTTGGTATCTCTGCAAGGGCACTAGACTTGGTCTTAAGGGAAAGGATTACCTCATTTACATCAGTGGAATTAGCGGGCGTTAGGTACAGAGACTGTGGGTAG